GTTCGTTCGACTGCAATTTGTCGTATTTGCTCATCCTTTGTTTTCAGCGCATTCAGTATCCATTGTTTTCATACAGCCACAGTTTTCAGTCGTTCCTACTTCTATGTGGAATCTTTCGCCATATTGCCCTGTAACATTCGTAATCTTCCCTCAGCTTCTCCCTGTCACTTATGTTCATTGGACATCTATAGCGAAAGTGCCAAACATATGAATAGCTGCGAACTACAAAAAATCCTCCTTAGCCAGCAAAACCCTTCACGTTGAGCAAAGCCCTTGAGACACTGGCTAAAATATAGCTACCTTTTAATCCGTATAATGTTTGTTTTGTATACAAATAAGTCGGTTCATGCTGTTTTCTGCAATGAAAGCTTCAGAAATGTACAAAACCAGGCGAAGAAGGAAAGAATCATTGGCTTTGCGAGTTAAGGGGGAGGGGGAATTCTCCTAGATTAAATCACAACTAAAACTACTGCCCTATTCCCCAGAGGTTGGATTTCTGAATGCAAAGGCAGCTGCTGATCAGGCAAGAAGGAAGAGTGCGCTATGAATATTCAGATTATGAATCTGATCTGCTACGGATTTTTAATGCTGGCGGTGTACATCTGAAAATCACTTCTAGGCTAATTGAACGAAAACAGTAAAATCAGGTGGGACATTATTCTGACTCAGCAAAATTGCAAGAAAGAATAAGAAGTTGTTACGGTCTAAATATGGACACGTTCTGTCTAACAGGGGGTCGACAGATTGAGAAACAGAAAGATCAGGGTTCATTGCTCACAGAAGCATAAGTAACAGTATGATGTGGACGACTTGTCAGAGAAGTGCGTAGAACTGCTTCTGAGGGCATCAGAAAAAAAGGTACAAGCTCCAGGTGATCCAAGCATATGCGTCAATAGCAAGCCATCCTGATGAAGTGGTTGAGAAACAAAAGTGCATGAACATGGAAAAAGCCATAATAAATTCATCATTAGTGAATTAAACGAAGAAACTGAACCACAATAAGGAAGCGAATGCTCGAAGTTGACTGATTTGACTCGTTTTGACAGCAAAACGAAAGAGAGGGATGACAGATTATTTGAGTTAGCTGAAAAGACAAATTATTGATTATGAACACCTTTCTTCAGAAAAAACGAAACAGAGCGTGGACATAAAAGGGTCCAAACAACGTCAAGAATGAAATCGATTTCATCTTCAATAACATGAAGAACATAGTTCAGAACGTCGCGTTGCTGAACAGGTTTAATGTGTAAAGCGACCTAACTCTGGTCAGTGGGAACTGACGTCTGAACTCGTCTTCAGGAACGAGGAAAGCGCTGAGGATGAAACACAAGATACTCGGTGTGGAAACACTACAGAAGAACAGCACAGCGATCTGGTTTATTTTTATGTATGAATATGCCACGTATTGTGGTATATCTGCAGGTGTCCGAACAGACCTTTGTTCGGCCCTGCCTAGTCATACGGTTCTGCATCCATGCACTGCAGGTACTCAAATACCATGATGCTGTGGCCTGCATAAATGGTCTCCAAGGCCACTAGAATCAAGGGGACGGTGCCTGCGCCGCTTCAATCCAGTATCAAAAGAGAAATAGTTAAAACATGACACTAATTTATATTAAATAGCTGATTGGACGTTCTTCGCGATATGCAAGACGAAGAAGAAGAATGAAGGACAGGAGGAAACATAGGGCATTGACGTAATGTGTTTCGATGGAGGACAGCACCTCCAGAACGAGCAATGTGAAGGTCGTCCGAAAGGTCACAAGGCAGACAAAGAAATGAAAACTGGGGCAGATCAGAAATTTAAGGTCGAATACGACGAACCTTGCTGCACGTTGAGAAAACAGGCAAAACAACACCACCGAACATCCTACCGCAGATGAACGAAGGAACAAAAGCACGAAGAACTTCAATCTAAAGCTTCATGGAGAAACGATGCAGTTTACCTGAAGTCAGAAAACAGAACTGCCATCAGTGACAGGTAAGAAAGTCCAAAAACGTAGAAGACTTCTGTAGAAAATCCAACAACGAAAACAGCAGCACCACAGATGAAGATTAGGAACTAGTAAAAATAAATGAACTAGTAAAATGCATAGAATTCGAGAAATCTTGCTAGAAGTACTCGATATGCAACAAAACAGGCGAGGAAGGGGAGGGCTAATGGCAAGAGGGATTGCATTCGAAATCGTGAAATCAGGAGACGAAAAATTGATCAGCTAGCTTGTTTCCACGCTGTTTGAAGGAAATGAAATTCCTGCAGCACGGATTCTGCATCACACAAAGATGTTCAACGAAGATACTGACGAACAGACTTCAAGGAAAGCTGGACTCTGCAAAGCCGAACGAGGAAGCATCGTTCAAAAATGAGTTCAATACCATGGACTATCTACCGGTGGTACAAAAGATTCAGATAAGCGATGAATATCAGCTTCGTAGCTGCTTCCGGCTCATCAGCTTCGTCGAAACTTTTGACTCAGTCTGCGTCCGGCCTACACCGGATTCCGTATGGAGGCAGACAGTCGAAATTGGGTACAGAAGCTCATTGCCAGAAGCTACAAGAAAGCAACTGCTAATGCAAAGCTGTAACAAGGCACAGCCAAATTCAAAATGGAGCGGGCGTCCAACAGGATCATGCAATATCACCAAATATGTTTTTGAGACACTTTGCTGGAAGAAAATCACGGATTGAAAACAGATGTGCAGTGCTTATGATATCTATGGTTTGCGGACGAGAGTCTCATCCTCTCAAAAACGTCTGAAGAACTCGAAAATCATAGGGTTGAAAGACGGTAGCATCAAAGTGGGATTTAAAATGAAGCTGAAGAAACTCAGGTCATATTAAATAAGTACGTTACCCCACGACTTGTTAAAATCAACGGCCTTAGGCATGAAAAGAATCAAACCTACGTCGATCTGGAAGAGCTCATTCTTGAAACGGAAATCCGATTATGTGAAATCAGCATAGAGAATAAAACTGGTGTAGAACGTTTTCGAAAGATTGCGAATGTTCTTCTGTCCATATGCTTAAAGCGGGAAGCTTTCAATCAATTTGTGATCAGAGTGTTAACATGTGTATCCGAAATGTGAACCTTAAACCTGGAAGCTGTTGATTGACTGTAGACTGCGCAACATATTATGGAAAGGTGTATGTTTGGAATAAGAGGAAAAATTGGAGAGGTGAGCGAAGGGGTAGTAACAAAAACAAGAGTCTGCGAAGTCATTGGGTGAGCAAAGGTACCGAAGTGGAAATAGGAGGGACTTGCTGCGAAAAGAACTGCCCATTGCTGAACGAGTAAGAAATTGGGGTTAGTTCCAAGAGAGAGCAAATGGCTCATAGAATGCTGTAGATCGATGGAAGGATGAGCTGAAGAATTTCGCTGGATCGAGACGGATAAATTTCTCGAAAAAACAAGTTTATGGCAAGATCTTGGAGAGACCATAAAGGTACTGATGATGATTGATATTTGGATCTTTCATACAATGCTGCATGAATAAAAATGTCACTAAAATGCAAGCAGGAGCTTCTTCTGGTGCTATATAATCCGTAACTGTATGTTGGAAACCGGGAAATCATTTGATTGTTTCTGTATGATAAAAAGCAAAAAGATGCGTTCGAAATTTAAAAAATTTATTTTCATAAAAATCATTAAAAATATTGCTCTATTAAATATCCACAAAGGTTATTTTAATATTTTAATACTGAATTTAATTCTTTGTCGATTAAATTTTATATCATTTCAAAGAAAGTATAGCACCACGACTTTAAGAACGCGTGATATTCAATCTCTGCGTTGATAACCTATTTTCAGGTAAATTTAGTTGTTGCTGTTCTGGAATTGGCTAAGTGCAGCTCTCTTCACAGATACTGGCAGAAGACACGCAAAGCAAGGAATCTTATGCCAGGATTAAGTAAGATGAAATTGATCAGTTGTTTTGAGTCAT